CAGTTCCAGTGACATCTGTTCGACTAAAAATCCATTACGCAAACCCTCCGTTTGCTTAAGCTTCCATCCATGACTTGACTATTTACGTCGTTGCTGCTTTTGACAATAACCACCCCGTTAATCCGTTCACCGTTTACTTAACTTTGTTTAAAAAGGTGCGCCCTTTCAGCCCCGCTGGATGTTTTATACTCTATTAAGTAACTTTCTACAAAATTGTTATCTGTGAAATGTCCTGTGATTCGCTTTCGTGTCTTAAGTTCAACCATCATATGAGGAGGAAACGCTTATACTAAACTTAAACAGTCCGTCTTACAAAAGACGTAGAATTCATTCAAACTTCGTTCACTCTCATCGTCTGGCAGAACCTTCACTCCATTCAGCCCCAGTGTGAGAATCCATCGTTTGAAATTTTTTGGGCTTGTATGATGGGACAAGATGACTCCAGCACTCCCTTAATGCGATACTAATCATTTTGTTGCTTAAAATGCAAAAAGAGATAGTCACATATCATTTTGCTGCTGTCAGTACACCCAAAGTTATAGTTTTCACATAGTATCAGAATAATATTTAACATTAACGCATTGTGCCCGTATAATAAATATAACATCATTTAGTCAAACAGCATATACCGATTTTCTGATTCTTCTAACATCCGTGTAGCGATGAGTTCTGCTTCTCGCGCTTTCCTTTCCATAAGGATTTTTTCCTCTTCTGTCTGCAAATAAAAATAAAAATCTTAAAGAGCAAAGATAGGGATATGGTCACACATGTAAAGATAGGAAAAAAGGCGAGGAAAGCTAATTTTTGACACAAAACAGAAATAGAGCAATTTTGCTGTAAAAAACTGAAGACCCTTGCTATTAATAAATATTTACCAGAGGGAAATTTCTGCCTGAAACATGACATATGGGCCCCTACTGAAAAACCATGGGCACCAAAATTTCGACCCATCAAATTTAAAGCCAGTGGAAACCAAAACTGATGACTTTCATTACTACTGCTCTAGAACGAACAGATATTTATAATATATGAGAGCCTTTTAATAACACGAATTTAAATGAAACGTCACCTAAACCCTGATGGAACCACTAAGAAAATTCAAACTTGAAATGACCATGCTCTAAAGAAAATATCTGTGATTCGAAGCAAGCAAGTTTAATATTTTCTTATCTGTTTCGATAGAAACCGTTTTGAAATGGCTATAAAGATTTAATATTGACATGGCCTTTGATTAACGCATAAGAATAGAATACGGCAGTTGCATGTACTACGGGCGTACATGAAGATCTGAAAGTGCCTGAGGCTGTGCAATTAGAGCCACGGCAAGGGAAGAGACATCGTACCACTGAAACTGCTCTATAAAATAAACTGTAGCAGGAGTACACAAGAAACATCAAGCTGTGACAGATCGGCTTAGGGAAACAAGTTATCGGAGTGTTTCGGTAATTAAGGAGGATAACGCCAGGTTAGGGCAAGTAATAAAAGATGGTCTCCACATTCTGGCAGAGAAGCATCAAATGTGTAACGAATCTTCGATATAAATAGGTCAGAATGTGTCCCATAAGGCTATGTAACGCTTGATGAGGCGATCTTTGATAAATTGTCACTAAGTTAATTGACATCTGATTCAATTAGAAATTTGCTACCGTCCCAACACGGTGACTACCACTGTTTCAAGCAGCCGTTATGACATTGTAAGTAACAGCAGAGAACCGACTGAGTAGTAAAAACTTTGTAACTTGCTTTTTCTCGTCTCTGTCGTTTTGACATTTGAGTTCCTAACCATGAATCATAAAAACTCTCAAATAATAGTAATAAGGGAAGAATGGTTTACAAAGAAAATAACTAATGGAAATCTAAACGTTTAAAAACACTGAAAATCAAATGAAAACAATTTAACTGTTGCAAACGACAACTGCAGTAGAAAGTTTTGCTAACCTTAATAGCTGATATTCTAATTCGTTGAATTTCTGATTCCGCCTCTGACGCCCTCTTGGCAAGTACCAGTGCTTCCTCCTCGCTAACCTGTGCTTTTTCTGAAAGCAGGTCAGCCGTTTCTTCATAACGTTTCTAAACGCGGAGCGAGGGAACTGTTATCGTAAGACTAGCATATACTAAAAAGGTTATTACTAATGCATCTTGAGCGATAATAACTTGCTCCCGCAACATTTTCACTTCTTCCTGAAGATGGTCCTTTTCTTTTTCAGCTTGGAGACGCATTCCAATCTCTCTTTCCAAACGCTGTTTTTCAGCCTGAAATTTCACAAAAACAAAGTTTAACACATCTCTTAAAACATACAAGCATCGCGTCCATTATAAATAACAGTAAAATAATCGAGTGATGACTTGTGCAAATCAGTCTGTACGCAAAAACAAAAATTGGCTATGTCAACACACCGAGAAGCTTAGTCTAGCGAAGTTATACATTCAGTTAGATACACTGATGTACAAACCCATTAAATGTTATTTTGCATAAGCGTATAAAGAAAACGTCTCGTGAAGTATCATTAATGTGAAAGAAATTGCTGCAGTCACCAAAATTTCACGAGACAAATGCCTTACACAATTGACAGGATGCCTCGCAGCGTTCATCAGCTTAAACAGCCTCACAAATACAAAGGTTCAGAGAAATCATGCGCATATTAATACCGATGGAGAATTATTATGATCCTATTGAATTTAAACTGAAAGACGTTGCACAGAGAACGTTTCGATGATGGGTCCATAACCGATCAGGTGAAGAATTTCTTCGTACTCGCTAAACTATACTATTGTTAAACATAAATGATAAAGCCATAGCTAAAGTGAAAGAACTTATTGGAAACGTTCACTGAGGGAGTCGAATTTTCAGACGGGAAAATATGTATTCTAGCAGAACAGCAACCGCTTCCGAGTTTGAAAGAAGAACAGTCTAAGAGTCCTGAAAGAGAAGTTCAGACGAATTCATATCAAAGAAGATTACTTTGACGATTGAGATTACTTTGAGGAACTTCCTAACTCTCAGCAAATCCAGGGAGATTCGGCTGAAGAGCGTCAGAGGAAGGATACTAATTCTTCAGCACAAGAAGTTAGAGAAGGTTTAAAAGGCATCGAAAGTGATATGG